ATATAGCAGCATTACAGGGCAGTTATTTGGATAACGATAGCCAGAGTGGCACAGAAATGGACAGAACATACGGACTTGAAAGAGCAGCAGTAAATAGGGTCAAAGGAGGAAAAAGATTGTAAGGCAAAATTAATGGTTCTTAAATGTGTGTTGTATCGGGAACAAGATAAATTAATTTACAGGTTAATGGGTATGATCTTATAACCATTACAGATACCTAGACTGAACGGGATCAAAACTGGGAACTAAATATTTAGAGATATGTAACTTTTCAGCCGGAAAATGTGGTGGGGTTGCTTTGTTAGTCCAGGATGGAATAAGCACAATAGCAGAAAATGATGCAGAATCCATATGAATGGAGGTAAGAAATATCAAGTGGTAGAAGGCACTGGGAGGAGTAGTCTAAAGGGCCCCTAAAGTGGTCATAATAGAAAATAAACCAGGGGGTAATCAGGGCATGTAAAGAAGGCCATACATTAATAACAGGTGACTTTGATCTTCATGTTGATTGGGAAAGTGAGATCAAAAGAAGTAGCTATGAGGAAGAATTCAAAGATCGTATTTGCGAATATATTCCTTGAACAATATTTTGGTTGTGGTGATGTGAAATGAGGCAGATTTTAAAAAAATGATTTCAGGGTGAAAGAATCCCCCCAGGAAACATTTACCATAACTTGGTAGAATTTAGCATTCAGTTTGAGGGGGAGAAAGCTGGGTTGGAAATAATGGTGCTAAAACTAAAGAAGGATAATTACAAAGGAATGAGGGCAGAACTGTCTAAAGTGCACTGGGAAAAACAATTTAGTGGCAAAGACAGTCGAGGAACAATGACAGACAATGAGGAAAATAGTCCATGGTTCACAACAAGAATATCAGAATGAAGACATCAAGCATATTCAAGGCTGAGACAGACAGATTTTTAATCAGGAAGGGAATCAAGGGTTATTGGGGAAAAGAGAAGGAAAGCAGAGTTGAGAATAATTAGATCACCCATTATCTGATTCAATGGTGGGGCAGACTTGCAATCTCAGAGGTATTTTAGTGCAGAAGGAGGTCATTCTGCCTATCATGCCTACACCAGCTCGTTAAACGAGCATGATTACCGAGTGCCAATCTCCTGCCTTTTACACATATTTCATATAGAACAACCCCTACTTCTTCAATCTAACATTGTAATTGAAGTTTCTCATTTCTGAAACTATTGTTGTAAATCGATTCTGTACATTCACATCTTTCCTATAATGTAGCAGCCACAACAGTACACAGTACTCCAGCTGAGGTCTAACAAGTGTCTTGTGCAAGTTCAACATCACCTCCATGCTCTTGTACTCTATGCCCCCATTAATAAAGCCAAGAGCACTGTATGCTTTATTAAATGGTCTCTCCACCTATCCTGCCACATCCCATGACTGAATAAAAGCAAAATATCACGGATGCTGGAAATCTAAAACAAACACAGAGAATGCTAGAAAACTCAGCAGCTCTGGCAGTATTGGTGGAGACAGGAACAGAACATTTTGAGTCCAGTATGACTCTAATCAAGAATAGTTGTGAAAACAGTCCAGCATTCTCTGTAGAAGTTCTGAAGAAGGCTCACTAGACTCGAAACGTTAACTCTGCTTTCTCTCCATAGATGCTGCCAGCTCTGCTGAGTTTTCCAGCAATTTCTGATTCAGTTTCTGATTTATACCATCCACAGTTCTTTGGGTTTTTTTCTGCCCCGTATTCTCTTTTTTATTAATGATCTGTGCACATATTTACACCGGTCCCTTTGCTCCTGCGCTTTTAGAATCGTATCCCTTATTTTATATTGTCTTTGAATTTTCTTCTGACCAAGTGCATCACCTCACACTTTTATCCATTTGAATCTCATCTGCCACCAATCTATCTACTGCGCCAACTTGTCAATGTCCTTTTGGAGTTCCATATTGTCTCCTTCACAGTTTACAATTCTTCCCAAACTTTGTGTCATCTGCAAATTTTGAAATTGTCCCCTGCATGCCAAGGTTGAGATCATTAATATATATCAGGAAAAACAAGGGTCCCAATATTGACTCTTGGAGACAACTCCACTATAAATCTTGCACCAGCCTGAAAAATATCCTTTGACCATTACTCTCTGTCCCCTATCACTCAGCAGCTACTTTATACCATGACCTGTACCTTTCCTCATAAGTCTGTTGTATGGCATTGTATCAAACGCTTTCTAGAAGTTATTTTTAGAAATCTTTACAGAAATCCATCTATATATCCACTGTATTGCCTTCATTAACCCTTTCTGTTACCTTTTCAAAAAATTCCAGCAAGTTACCGAAACACAACTTCTCCTTTAGAAATCTGTGCTGACTCTCCCTAATCAATCCACCTTTTTTCCGTGTGACGACTAATTCTATTCCAATTAATTAATTCTCACCACTGAAGTTAAACTGGCTGGTCTTTAATTGTTGGACTTATCCTTACAATCTTTTTTGAACAGGGCTGTAATGTTTGCAACTCTCCAGTCCTCTGGCACCTTCCCCAAGTCCAGAGAAGACTAAAAGATTAAGATCAATGACCCTGCAATTTCTACCTTCACTTCCTTTAAATTCCTTGGATGTATCTCATCTGATCCCGGTGTCAACATGGAATATCAATGTCTGTCCAAGACTTATTTCTTGTTAATTTTGAACCCTTTTAGTGACAGAGGTCCCCTCTTTGTCGCTGTGGTCTGAGCAGCAGCAGCATCCTCTTTCATGAAGACAGATGGAAAATATTCATTTAACACCTGCCTCCCTGTTTTGATCTCTCTTTGGCCCTGCTCCTCTTCTTATCACCCTTTTACCATCATATACCTTATAGAAAACGTCGGGATTTCCCTTTGTGTTTGCTGCATTTCCTCATAAATCGTATTCACTTCCTTTGTTCGCTTTTTCACCTCCCCCTAAACATTCAGTATTCCTGTTGATTCTCAATTGTATTTTCTGCCTTACACCTGTCATAAACACACTTTTTATTTCTAATATTAATTTCTACCTCCTTTGTCATCCAGTGATGTCTGGATTTGAATTATGGGCTGAATGATCTACTTCTGCTCCTACATTTTATGGCCTTATCGGTAATCACTGAGCATGTGAGAGAGAAACACTGGAAATGTGAATGAAAATACTAAGAATATAAGTAAAATCATACTGTGAATGTAAGAGTGAACCACCAGGAATGTGAGTGAAAAATGTCAGAAATAGGAAAAAATATACTGGGCGCCTGAAATTAGGATTAGGATTGGGAAGGATATATAGGAATATGAATGAAAATACTGGCAATGTGTGAGAAAACATCAGGTATGTGTTATAATAACTGGGAATGGAAAAGACTATATGGGAATGTGTGAAGGTAATGGGAATATGAAAGAAAAAGATTGGTTATGTGAGTGAGAATAATTTGGTCATGTGTCATGATGGATACATGGGAACAGAGAAACAGGAAAGAGGCAAAATATCATTTAAGTAGTGATAGATTGGGAAGTGTGAGCGTACAAAGCGATCTGGGTGTCATTGTACACCAGTCAATGAAAGTAAACAGGTATGTGCAGCAGGCAATTAGGAAGGCAAATGGTATATTGGTTTTCATTGCAAGAGGATTTGAGTTCAGAAGCTGGCATGTTTTACTGCAGTTGTACAAGGCCTTCATGTGAGATCATGCCTGGAATATTTGTATGCGGATTTGGTCTCCCTATCTGAAAAAGAATATACTTAGCATAGATGCAGCGCAGCGAAGCTTGTCTAGGCTGACACTGGGGATGGGAGGATTGTCCGTTGAGGACAGATAGGGCGACTGGGCCTGTATTCACTAGAATTTAGAAGATTAGAGGGGATCTGGTTGAAACATATACAACTCTAGCAGGTCTGTACAGATTAGATGCAGTGTGGATGTTTTCCCTGGTTGGGCAGTCTAGAACCAGGGGCAGTCTCAGGAACAAGAACAGAAATTGCTGGAAAAGCTCAGCAGGTCTGGCAGCATCTGTGAAAAGAAATCAGAGTTAACGTTTCAGGTCTGGTAACCTTTCCTCTGAACTGTCTCAGGATACAGGTTAAACCATTTAGAACTGAGCTGAAGAAACATTTCATCACTCAGAGAGTATCACAGAAAGCTTTTAAGGCCAAGTCACTGAGTACATTCAAGAAAAAAGATTCATGAATTTCTAGATTTTAAAGATATAATTTTTAAAATTCATTCATGGGATGTGGGCATCACTGGCCAGGCAGCATTTATTGCCCATCCCTAATTGCCCAGAGGGCAGTTAAGAGTCAACCATATTGCTGTGGGTCTGGAGTCACATGTAGGCCAGACCAGGTAAGGTTGGCATTTGCCTTCCCTAAAGGATATTAGTGAACCAGATGGGTTTTTCCAACAATCAGCAATGGATTCATGGTCATTATTAGACTCTTAATTCCAATCTCTTTTTTATTGAATTCACGGAAGGGAAAAGCAAGAATGTGGCATTAAGATAAAGGATCAGCCATGATCATATTGAATACTGGAGTAGGCTGGAATGCTGAATGGTTTACTCCTGATATTGGTTTATTTGTCTCTATGGAATAGTCTATTCTGCCCATCAAATCTGTTCTGCCAGACCCACAGAAACGTGACTGACTTTTAACTGCCCGCTGGGCAATTAAGAATGGACAATAAATGCCGGCCCCAGCCAGTGATGGCTACATCCTGTGAATGAATTTTAAAAATTGAATAGCATCAGGAATTTTGCACACATGACCTGGGAATTTGCTTTTGTGGTTTCCTGGGAGAATCAGTGAGAATCAGTGGCATGACCAGCATTTTGTTGACCATCTGAACTGTCTTTAGGAAGATGGGAGTGCACCCCTATCAAATCACACAACGGATGATCAGTAGAGCAAGTCCAGCTTAAGTTGTGGAGTTGGAGGAGCACAGCAGGTCAGACAGCATCCGAGGAGCAGGAAAGTCAACGTTTCAGGTCAGGACTCTCCATCAGGACTGTCCTGCTCCTCGGATGCTGTCTGACCTGCTGTGCTTCTCCAAATCCACATATTATTGACTCTGACTTCCAGCATCTGCAGTCCTTGCTATCTCCCAGCTTAAGTTGCGAATGGGATTCAGTGCACGGCGAGTGGAATAGGTTTAAATTGCAGTTGGTACACGAAGTTTCTCAGCCATCTGTGATGAGTCAGTCTTGCTCCTTCCTGGACACAAAACAAGAGCAATTAAAGTTAACCACATTGACAGTAAATAAAAGCTCTTCCTGCACCTTCAGATACAATGAGTGGCTGTTTCAATAGGATTCCACCCCCAACAACACATTGTAAAGAACATCAGTATTTGTGTTCAACACTGATACTGTGCAGCCGTCCCTATTTTAAAACAGAAAAAGCAAAACTTCCATCTATCTATCATCTTTAACACATCGTAAAGTCAAGATTACTGAAATGTAATTAGGCAGTTTGACACCAAATCACAAAGAGAATATCAAGACAAAACTTCATGGTAAGGTCCTGGGGAGTGTTGCTGAACAAAGAGACCTTGCAGTGCAGGTTCCTTGAAAGTAGAGTCACAGGTAGATAGAATAGTAAAGAAGGCATTTGGCACTCTTGCCTTCAATGGTCAGTGCATTGAGTATAGGAGTTGGGAGGTCATGTTGCGGCTGTACAGGACATTGGTTAGCTACTATTGTAATGTTGCTTGCAATTCTGGTCTCCCTGCTATAGGAAGGATGTTGTGAAACTTGAAAGAGTTCAGAAAAAATTTACAAATATGTTGCCAGGGTTGGAGGGCTTGAGCTATAGGGAAAGTCTGAATAGGCTGGGGCTATTTACCCTGTAGTGTTGGACCGAAGGATCTGTTTCCACACTGTAGGGATTCTATGATTATCAGGATTCTATGATTAATTTAGGATATCTGGTCAGCATGGACAAGTTGGACCGAAGGGTCTATTTCCATGCTGTACACCTCTATGACTGTAATTGCTCAAAGATATAGGTTTTAAGGAGCTTTAGATTCTGTGTCCTTATGTCTTTGTGTAGTACAATGGGACATTTCCCATGTTAAAAGCACTATATAAATGTAAGCCATGAAATTCATTTGGACTCTGCATAGATTTCATCAAATGAGTAATGGGTTCCATCGCTAGTCTCCTGATTGATGGAACTGAACGCACAATGGAAGATCTCAATAAACAGAAACTGTTGTATGTTACTGTCCCACTAAATCAGTATTTCCTAATAACAGATTGTACAATTTTCATTGTAAAGTCTTCTGTTCAGTAAATCAGAACAATCTCGAATTGAGGAAGTTCAGGCATTTCAATTTCAATCAATTTTTAATGAATCGTGAAGTAATGGTGGTTTTATATTAAAAAATCAAATTAATCATGAAGTACTGACCAACTGACCAACCAATTCTCACATCTGCTGTTCCATAGTCAGTCACAGTGAATTTTAATGCTTATTTATCGATGTGTGAAGACCACGGGTACAATCTTGGTGTGAGGTGGACAAGGTGTGTAGCAGAATTGGACGAAAAGTCCATTGAGGGCCACCTCAACGTCAAGATCATCTCATTCCAGGCAGTATTCTTGCTAGGCAGCAATGAGTTACCAATTGATGGGGATTATTGCTTGTTAAACACCTTGTTAATGCCACAACTCACTTCTTTAATATTCAGCCTCCTATCTTACTAAACCCACCAAACAAACTCTATATCAGGAAAACATGACATAGAAACCAGAGTGAGCAGCTGGCAGATTCATTTTCTCGGCTCCATAGCAGCAAGTCCAGGACGGGGGTGGGGGGTGGTGGGGGTGGAGGGGAGGGGGTTCCCTAATGCAGTTAGCAACCAGAGACACCAGTTAGGGGTCTGGGCACGTCTTGTCTGCGATCGTCCGGTCACGTTGGTCAAGGGGTGCGCCATGGTCAGTCTGTTGGGGTCTGTCCACAGAAACTAAGGAAGGGGGCAGGGGTGGAAGGCAAGTTTCGCCATTTCTGTAGAATTCAGCCTTGCCGGGTTATCCTCTGTGACTACGGCCTGCAGGCTCTGGGCAAGGGCACTGTACAATGCTGGGGGGAAAGGTGCTGCAGGAATTGACAAGGGGGATATAGTACAGTATGACTTGGTAGGATATGATAGAGCAAGGGAGATGGTCATCCATGGTTATGAGGACAAGTGAATAATCAGGCCTGGTGTGATCACCTTGTGTGTCAGGGGCTGGAAGGGAAACGTGAACAGGTTTTGCAAATGTCGGTGGTTGGGTAGGGACTAGGGGAAATGTGAAGCCTGTGGGATTGATTGATCAGCTATTGGATGGGGATGTTGGTGTTTGGGTCTTACTGGCATGGTGAGGCTGAGGCTGTAAACCATGGGCTGAGAAGTATTCGCTGTTACCGTCCAAAGTGCTGGAAATCAAAAGTGCACAATGGGGAAGAAAATGGCTGCAGCCACACTTGGAGAGGGCAGGGTAAGTGACTCGACCTGTGAGGGACGGGGCTGCAGCAAACACTGATCATTGGGCTTTTAAAGGAAAAGAACATTGGTTGCCAACCCACACAACATGGAGGCTGCCCTGCTCCCTGGCCACCCTACACCATTGACCCTCTCTGTGTGTTGCACCTCCCTGCGCCACCACAGCCTACGTTTCACCCTGATCAAATGCTATGTTTGCAAATTGTTGCCCCTGGTCCCAGACGGGAACCTTCATCCATCCAGGGAACCTTGTCTCTGGCAACAAAGTGTTGCTAGAAGCTGTGAAAATGTGTTTAGCACCTGCACATGGAGACTCTCAACCACAGGAAAGCTGACATCAGGTACACTTATGCAGAAACTGGCCACTTTTACATTTGCCACCAAAGTGCCCCCAATGTGTTTTCTTCTTCCTCCCCCCTCTCACTAAGTCTCAGTGTACCCTTGCTTCTACAGCTGGGTGCAGTAAGCCTGCTCAGCCGTTGAGCCCATTGGCCCTGGAGGTTTGGTGAGGCAAACCTCAGAGGTGCCTGTGTCTAGACAGGCCACACATGCCGACGGTCTTCTTGCCAAATGTAAGTTGACCCTCTCTGAGGGTGCCAGGAAGGGTGGAGCTAGAGGTTCTGGCTACCTTTGCAGTGCTCTGCTTGAAATGTGTAGCGCGGTATATGTGTGGTTCAAAAGAACAAAAGAGAAGTACAGCACAGAAACAGGCCCTTCAGTCTTCCAAGCCTGTGCTGATTATCATGTCCTAACTAAACTAAAAAACAAACTTTCTGCCCTTATTCGGTACATATCCCTCTTTTCCCTTCCTATTCATGTAACCATCCAGATGCCTCTTAAATGTCGCCAATGTGCCTTGTTCCACCACCTCTTCTGACAGTGCATAACAGGCTCCAACTACACTTTGCATGAAAAACTTCTCTCGCACTTCTCCCTTAAACTTTCCCCCTCTCACCTTGAACCTGTGCCCCCTTGTAATTGAAACTTCAACCCTGGGACAAAGCCTTTGACTATCCACCCTATCTATGCCTCTCATAATTTCGTAGACCTCTATCAGGTCTCCTCTCAGTCACCGTCTTTCCAGTGAAAACAATCCTAGTCTTTTTAACCTTTCCTCATAGCCAACACCCTCAAAACCGGGCAATATCCTCGTGAACGTTCTCTGTGCTCTCTCCAAAGCTTCCACATCCTTCTGGTAGTGTGGCAACCAAAACTGCACACAATACTCCAAATGCAGCCTAACAAGTGTTCTATATAGCTGCAACATGGTTTGCCAACTCTTGGACTTCATGCCCTGGCTGATGAAAGTAAGCATGCCATATGCCTTCTTAATCGCCTTGGCCACCTGTGTTGCCACTTTCAGGGAGCCTCCTCCAGCTGGTTGCCTCCTGGCACTGCCCTGTTTTGATGTGAGGACTGGGGTCAAGTTTCCCTGCCCTCATGTCACCATGCCTTGGTACTTGAGGACCAATGGCTGGGGCAATGGAGTACAGATGTGCACTCTCCAGCAGTCTATGATGGTGCTGGACCTGACACTCCATGCTAGGTGTCATTCTGCCCATGGATATGGTCACATGATTCACTGCATTGTTGCAGTTTCTGGGCAATGTAGGCCATTGTCTCTCACAAACCTGTCTGCTACTGCTGTTCTTCCCTGTGCATGTGGCTGAGGTTCCTGAGAGCTGACAGCACTGGGTCCTCTCAGCCAGGTGCTGAGCAGTGCCTGGTCTCCAGCAGTTCTCTGAGTTGCAGTGGTTTAGTGTTTCTTCCTCAGCCAGCAGTGAAGCTTTCATAGTGTGGTGCTCACCAGATAGTGGTCCCACACTTTCTAGGCCTAACATTACAACTGAGTGGATGTGAGGTGCAAGACAGAAGAGTATGGCATTTACCTTGGTGACACAGAGAAGTTCATTGACCTTCTTTTTGAATTGCTGGCTGACATTCCATTTGCCTTCCCTTTTACCCCCTGAACTTAGATGTTAGCTTTTTGTGATTCATTGATGAAGACTCCTAAATCCCTCTGTTCTGTAGCCCTCTGCAATCCTTTTCCACTTAAATAATATTTAGTTCCTCTATTTTTCCTGCCAAAGTGCAAAACCTCATATTTCCCCACATTACATTCCATCTGCCAAATTTTTGCCAGTCGCTTAGCCCGTCTGTATCCCTCTGCAGACTGTTTGTGTCATCTTCACTGCTTGCTTTCCTAGCTACTTTTGTATCATCCTCAAACTTGTTTCCAATGTGCAAGGTGGTGTCCATATACCAGGCTGGCAGAGTCTCCTCTGCCAGTCCCCTGGGCCAAGGTGTCTCTCTTCTGGACTGCTCCATTCACTGGGTCCTCCAGCTACCTGTTGGAGAATTGCAGTGCCACCTTCCCCTTCTCCAACATGTTCTGCCTCCTTCCTTGAGTAAGCAGAGCAGCTTCAAATAGCCAAAGCCCGTCCAGGTGCACAATGGGCTTTTAAAGTTACTGCAGGCACAAGTGATATAGATATTCCAATGGATATCTGCTGAATGGCAAGTTGTTCTGGGATAGGGCGGAAACATGGATGTGAGAGACACCATAAAGGCAGGATCAGTAATTAATGATTTGAAATTGGTAAGATCCGCATGCAGCAAAAAACCTTCGAAAAATGTCATGCAACTCAGACTTAGCTAAAACAACGTAAGATTCAGCTCCATGTGTTAATATGTTGGAAATTCAGTAAATAGGGGGGTATATTCTGTC